TAAAATGAAATATCACACAAATTAGCGAGATGGCATACCTGTCCGAAATCTTCTTACAGTTTGTTAGAGTCAACTCCTCTATGTTGTTACATTCTGCCGCAAACGTCCTGTAATACAATGCAGCGATCGTGAGAACGTGAGAAGCACTCAGCGCAAGCTCATACACACAGACTACGATAATTCGAGTCAGTGCCGATTGTCCTGCTTTCCCCACTACGATAATTGTCGTTTCGATCAAGTCATTGCTCCTGTTATGTTCGTTCAATCGAAGCTTTTTGAAAATGTTCGAGGAATAACAAGTGAACATTAACAGGTAAACTGAAAGAAGATGCCTATAGAGCAGTAGAGAGGGGTATAATTAGTTATAAATTTCGCTTGAGTTTTTTTTAGCATAGCCATCTGTGACCGTCCTGTTCTCTACTAGTTCATATTCCTCACCGCCAAAAACTGCAATTCTTACAAGTTTATTGCAAAACTGCATGCAGTGCTCCCTTCATACAACTCAGGATACCACTGCCGCAAGGCTAGCACTATTTTTCAAGCTGGGGGCAAATCCAGCAAATGGCGATTCGTAAACAGCGTATGATTTGAAAGAGGTAAATGGGCGCACAATCCGCGCATTATTTCTTATGACCATTTCATCAAATTTTTCACGAAATTATGGTCAGATTTTTATTTCCTTTGCAACTTTTATAAGTGCAAATCTTAATACATAGGATATACGAGTAACGTAGCTGCTGTGAAACTTGTAGTAAAAAAGCATTAGAAATTCTGTGTCTACGGAAATCTACTTGTGACAGTGGTGAATTGAGCCAGAGTGAGAGCGCCATCTGTCGTGCAGTTTGGTTTATTGCATGAAGTTTTTTTCAATACCTGTCACGGGTCAATACCATCATATACCATCCATCACCATTTACTATACACCATGCTCCTTTCACTACACCGTCAATCTCTACCCCCGCCACAATGCCCTTGCCCCTCCCCACTATGCGGCAGGCGTAGATGATTCATACCTCATAGCACCATCTCCTACGATCTGGCATCCAAGTAGACTGAGCTTCTTTAGAAAGCCTCCGCACCTTTTCGACAGATTCTCCAGAACAACGCCCTCTATATCGCATTGAAACTCAAACAGGTCGACCCTTTGCCAGTTGCTGCCATCTAGTGCCAAAATGTTCCAGTACTACAATAAAACATGGGGAAAAAAACCTGTTGTAGAAATCGAGGTGAAATTCGAATCGTCCTCGAACGTTGAATTTTTTTTTACTAGATTCGTCATGATGTAATCACTTGGCGCCGTCGCTAAAAGTGTGAGAATGCATAATCTGGATTCACGCCACGTTGTGATACCACCTGCACGCACAGTACCGCCACACTAACTAGTCAATAGGCTGTACACAAACGCCATCTACATGTAGCCTCACACCAACGACAGAGTTACAGGCAATGGTCACAATTGGCATGATTTTCTACCACTCTAGGAAACCTCATCGGTGTAATGAATGGTCAAGAATGTAAGGCAGTTGTAGGCCTGCAAGGTACAACTAAGGTGACAATGTAGAGTTTGTTTTTAATTGCTGATGGGCTGCAAACACTAATGCAAACTACACTTACTTATAAAGCCAAAATTCAACACCTATAAAACATGAGGATGCAGAAGAATGTTATTTAGATGTATGGACGGAATCACTTTGAATAATGACTACAAACACAAGCACATTGGTTGCAATGGAATGGACATATGCACATTGGTTGGCCACTGTGTCCATTCCCTTTTTTCCATTCTTGACCTTCCATTAAACACCAAATTTATGCATCTCATATAGACTTATGACGGGCGAAGGAATACAGTTTGAAAAAAAATATTGGGTGAAAGTATATATGACTCTCAAATTCAATTAACATTATACATTAAATAAAGCATTTCGAAAAGCTGCCAAAATAACAAAGAAATACATTCTTACTCCTGGTATTGAACTTTTAGTAATATTTTCTTTTTAATTACACAATAAGTAATGTCAAATTCCTTATATCATCAATAATGAATTAAGCAATCTACAGTAATCGTTTATGTTTATGCACAGCACAGTGTGTTCATTATTCTAGGGTCAGACATAAATGCATATAAACGAGCGCATATTCAGACAAAGATCTGCACTTCGTTATATACTCGCACGATCACGTGTCAGTTTCGCATTCTCATACATCCGCTTTCACATCGCGTTAATGAGGCACAGGTGTGTATGGGCGTACCTTGGACACCTGGGCACATCGACAGAGGCTGACAACATCCAGGTATGAGAAAACTCTGCAACGAAAATGCAAACATAAATACGACACGACGCTTATATACTTGGAACCCTGATTCAATCAATGCAAAGTGGTTTCGGTATAAGTGCGAATGCAGGCATGCACACACACACACACGCACGCACGCACGCACGCACGCACGCACGCACGCACGCACG